AGCCTTTCTTCCTGCCCCTGCAGCTGGGGGTGGAAAAGAATGCTCTGTGGGGCTCTCTCCCAGCCCCCGTGGGGTCGCCATCTGAGACAGGCTGAGATGGTGTCCACATTGTGTATCAGGCCCCAAGGCAGACTGTAGCCACCCCTGCCTGGGTCAGGGTGTCCACAGGATACTGGGGACGTTCAGGGTCAACAGGATGGACTTTAGAGAAACAAGTTTTGGAAATGTGGACAAGGGCAGGGATGGGCCCGAACCTGGGGCATGGGAGCTGGGGGCTGGGAGGGGAGTCAGAAGAGCAGCAGGAAGCTGAAGGGACAGGCGAAAAGGGGTGAGGGAAGAGCGGTGTGATGGTGGGCTGGTGACGGCAGTGGGGGGAGGGCTGCCTACGGTGTTTAAGAGGCCCCCCACCCCCCACTCCCAGTAGCTGATCAGCCTTCCTCCCTCAGAGCAGGGTGCAGACGGGTGGGGGGTGCACCTGGAAGGACCCAGGGGAATGATCAGGATGACAGGGACCCAAGATGAATAAGCCAGCTCCTGCCCTCAAGTAGCTTACTCGCTGGAGGAAAGAGAGCCAGCTGAGCTCACCGTGGGAAGAGGACAGTCACAGCAGAAGCCAAGCTCCAGACAGGCCAGGGGGAGCAAGGGAGTTGGGTAGGCGGGGCCAGGGAGCACAGTGGCTTTAAGGAAGAAGCTTCCTTTTGCTGCTGTTACAAGTTGCCACAAACTTAGTGGCTTAAACACCCACTTGGTGTCTTAATAGTTCTAGAGCTCAGCAGTCTGAACTGGGTCTTACAGGCTAAAGCCAAGGTGTCAGCAGAACTGTGTTCCTTCTGGACGTTCTAGGGGAGAGTCTGTTTCCTTGCCTTTCTGGCTCTTAGAGGCTGCTGCCTGCCTTGACTCTGGGCCTCTTCCTCCTTCAGAGTGCAACATTCTGGGACAGCTGGGTTGAGCCACTGACTTTTGATTTGGGCTCAGGTCATGATCTCACAGTTCATGAGCCCCGAGTTGGGCTCCGTGCTGAGTGTGGAGCCTGCTTGGCATTCTCTCTCTCTCTCTCTCTCTCT